GCGATAGTTGGGCCAGGTGTTGCGCATACTAGCACACCGATTCCTGCAGCGTGCGTTGTTTGCCCTTACTTTAAACTTGGCCTCGGTTGGAGACTCTCCGCCTCCTGCTTGGAGATCGAAGGACAATGAACACATTTGGTTGGATACACTTGTAAATAACTTTGTAAATAACTTTGTTGATGAAAACGATGATTCTAATAATTGCAATCGATATCGGGCACCTGTATTCCTAGGTTTTATCGATTCGATGCAATAGCTGCAGTTTTATCCAAACTGCATTCTTATCACACAAACGCGATACTCCCATGACAAAGGAGATAGGTCCATAGATTGACCGAATTGCGAGTGGCCGGTTAAATGGTACTTGGCGGAGAAAGCTGCCTATATTAATAATCAAATGTCACAATGCTTGAACAGTCACAGGAGGGTAACAAATAGGCATTCAAGTGCTCCATCCACTCATAGAGATTTACCCGTGAGATGTGAACGGAGTGTCAAGGTGCGGTGCCACCCCACCGCAGGCAACTCATACGTGATATGCGAATAAGACGACAAATCCATTTGGTAATGGGTGACAGCGATTGAACAATAGATGTGGTAAAATTTAGTTCATTCACTCACAATGTAAGAATGCTTACTGACAGTCATCGCTAACGGTGACGTCGAAATTATGATGCAAGAAGAAGTATTCAAACAACCGATTGCATACATCACATAGTGGTTTTTCTTGGTTAGGAGCTATAGGTAGAACAACCTCATCAGCTTGAACCGCTTGTCTAGAAGTGGGAGTCAAGTCCTTCGTTTTTAGCGTCGGGTTCGATTTCTACGGCCTAGTGAGCATTCATCGTCAGAGAACTCTTCGTTCTTATCGAACTGTGGGGTCTCGTTGGACACGTCATCCTTAAGTTGAACTCGACAACCCTTTGTTGAGCGCTAATGTATGTAAACATCCCTGCTCAAAAATAGATTAGGTTATCGTTACAAACGTCCAAAAATAGGTTTTCCTGATATGGAAGTACTGAACAAGCTATAGTCCTTGTAAATATTAATAGGGCGCTGTGCTTGTGCTCCCCCGCGATCCATTTAGCTTTGCTGGGTGTCGACATCCTAGCGAGTGAACTAAATGCTAAGGATAAGAAAATGTTTGTCTCATTATCCTATAAAGCAGAGATTAGGGGAGTAAGTGACCCCCACCTTCATCAAAAATGAACCATGGAAAACAGCATTGTAGGATTATGCTTTCTACCTGACTGACGCAGAGAGTGAGTGCTACGAGCTGTCTGCAACGGTGGTACAGAAGGATTGGCGGTCGCCAGTTTGGCATCACTCGTCATAATCTTGAAAATCTAAATTACTAAGGTATAGATCCACCAAATCGCATCCACGATTGAGTGCGGCGATTGGATTACTATATAATGCTACCGAAGGACATACATAATGTTCTCAGCCCTAAGAGTACTCAATAACACTCCCGCTGAAATACACTCCCCCCACCATCGAGCTGAACGCACCATTGAATGGAAACATCCGGACTCGGCCAAATCAAATCTCAGATAACCCGGTAGTATTGCAAGTGAGACTTAGGTAAAATTTAAGGGGGTAAATGACGTCCGCTTCACCACAGATTGAAAGGTTTCGTCTCATGGGACCAATCAGTTAGCCAACGAAATGCAACCGCACCATTTCTACTTGCTGCTAATATCAGACTGGAAAAGTGCGATTAGAAAACGAAAGCTGGAGATGCAGGCATTTCTTGTTTTCTCTTCAATATCCCTAACAATAACCGGTATGTATACGTTAACTCATTTTGGCAAGTGTTTTTTTTATTCCGGAAGTCAAAGACTGATCGGTTCTGCCTGTGTTACTGGCTACACAGTTAAACGCGAATTGGTTCATGCGTTGTGTGTTGGCTCCAATTGACTGAGTTTCCTTCCTTGGAGGTACCGGCAAATCATGAGTTTGGGCAATAACTACACCTTGAGCGGCGTTGTTACTTCCCTGCATAGCAGCGATTAACTGCTAATTGGTCTTCAGTATAGTAGTGACCCTTGACAGGCTATTTGCCACAAATATTTCTTCTGGTTGCTGCATGCACCAAGTCTCTCAGGTCTTGCTGTTGGCTGTTTTTCGTTAAATTTGGGAGGATAATCATTCGCCATGAGTGTAGTCGTACTTAACTATGGCTCGTCAGCCAGAAAATCAGCCGAGCAAATTCGTCTAGCGCGACTAAAGTTTTCATAAGTGTCCGCTTCTACCGTACTGGTCAACTTCAGGTATTGGAAACTCTGCTTTTCTATAGACGGACCTCTTAATGAGCCTATCACCCCTTCCAGACTGACAAAGATGTCCAGATATGACAGACGGTTCTTTTGTTCTACTTCACAGGTTACCCACAAGTTGGCATGTGCACCGTTAACTTGCTGCACCAAGTGGACAATCTGCTACTCCGACGAACAAAAGACCAGTATGTTATCCACATAGCGCTTATAGTGTGGTAGCTTGGCTGTCTCTGTTGATATGCCTCTTTCTACCCTCAACCTAAATAAATAGGCGAGTACTGAACCTAGTAGAATGCTCACTGCTACCCCATAGATTTGACTATACAGTGTTCTGAAGGCGAAAACTAACATTTTTAATGAACAACAGCAATGATTCCTTTAGAAATTCAGTTGGAATGTATAGCGAATAACCAGACTGCTCACTTAGTTCACATATGCAACCAACTGTCTGGTGTAGTGGGACATCAGTGAACAGAGGTTCCACATCTAAAAGGCACATAACCTAATCAAGCAGGTGGATACTATCTGTCATCAGTAATTCGAAACCAATCCTTAAGACTTGGAATCGTCCATTTGTTGTGGCGACAAAATGATCTTCACTAAGTATCGTGTCAGTTGGTGCAGCGGCACATTCGTTTTTTGCCCTAAGTGACACTCCGATCTCGTTCATTTTCGGTGGCCCCTATTGCTGAGGTTTACTGCTGCCGTTTGGCCTCAAACAATTATTTATTTCTAATCAATTTCGATTTGATAGCATTGAGAGTTTATCACAGTAGCTTCAAATCAGACGGTTTACTGCGCATTCTAGACATCACCAGACAGCCGTTTCGTCTAATTGGGACTCATCAGGGGTGCGCATCCCCCAACTTCATCAGGAACCGAGAACATAACTTCCCGACAGTAGCGTTTTACTCCACTAGGCCACAGATGACAGCAGAAGACTTTCATGACTTACAAGCTAACTGCGATATAGCTCGACTCATCCTGCACTACCATGCAATTTACAAACATTGCAGAGGATAAGACTGATCCCCAAAGTCAAGTTTTCCCAAAATATCCGTTGTTTGCGACAGCATTTATTGCGACTGTTTCTATTAGTCGCGGTTGGGTTTCAATTTATGACGGTCGTTTACCTTCATCCGTGCTATCAGCTGCTGGATGGCGGCGTCTGGTGCTTTTCTGATGCGCAGTAAGCTATCTGAGTTGGAAAGTACTGCTTCCTAGTCTCCTCACCTATTATCTTTATTATCATGTCCTCATTATCTTGGTAACGGGCTCCATCGCATTTCGGTGTCCGTGCACCATTGCTGAGCGCAGTTATGTCAGACCCAATACTGTTACGAGCATAACCAGCACTTTTGAGATCTCTGGTGACCATGCTCCGTTCTGGCATTCACCGACCCGTCGGCACAAATTTATTTCCAGGCCGTTTTTGCTTTTAATTCTAGTTGTAACCAAACTCTTTTACGGAATACAATGTCCTGAATTGATGGTGCCAGGAATGCATCTGATAAGCGTCTATATTTTCTTATAACCTTTAGACCTAACTATTCCGAACCTTTCTTAACCACATTGAGCGATAGTTCCAGGGTCTACTAATTCCGTTTGTCTTCAGTGTTTTTTTTGCGAGACTTCGAAAGTGTATACCATCAAAATGGTACTATATACTGGATTCTCCTCTTTTATGATTAATTGTCTAACAGTCTTGTATTCCATCCATGTCAGACAATCTCGATGGCTATTGAAGCTATTCTTCATATTGGCGCATAAGCCCTTCGTTAATTGAGATGCACTCTTTTGAGTGTCATTTGTTTATTTTGTTCTATGATTCCGCATTTACGATAATTATTACCGTTTGCTACTGTTACAGGATCGTATCGTTGTTGGTCACATGGTTCACCATGACTTTTCTGTACTCAAGCTGAGTCACCCCCGGCATTTGATCCGCGACACTGCCAAGTCCCCTTACGCAAGGGTTTTGGCTGGTTTTTCCTCCAGGCAAGCAGTCAGCTTGCGTTCTCTTACACTCAGTCTTTTCGGTAGGTTTGCACGAATTTTTCGCTTATGCGTATCAATCCGATTACTTGTACTACCGGTCTTTCACAACATTTAAGTTATATTTTATTACTTTGCAACTTACACATACTGCCATAGTTCCAACGGTTCCTGTTGGGTATTTCGCTTCGTATGAGCCGCTCATCCTCGACACCATTCAAAGGGCTTGATTGCATCTTGTTTTATTGCCTAAATCAGACAGGTCGGAGCTCAACTATTTGATCACCGTATCATGGTCTTTTCTGTGTTCTTCCACCAGGCATTCTAATCACGGCATCGATCGACTGGACATGATCCCGGGCGGTAGTATGCTCGCGTGTGTTGGCTGTTGCTCACCCAACAGTATGCCCTGCTCATATAACAGGCTTAGATTTCCTACAAGCAACACTTCTTTGCATTCTTATGTGAACCGAAATTCACCAGTTGTCTTATCTGTATCGTTCACTTTGCATGAGCTTTAAAATGGCCTAATTCATGAGTTCGACCATTTCATGCTGTTATGACTGCCTCACGTAGGGACATCGGTAGCCACTGAATTCTTTTTCTCTTTCTAACTACTTTCGAAGCAGTGGAGTCTACTAGCCAATTATTCGGGGTGTGATATTCCTCTGGCTTCGTTGACCGTGTTTCATTGGCTCAAGGTATGGGATTTTGTGATTCACCTATAGGTTTACAGAATGCGGTGTTTATCATGCCATTACTTTTCTGTTTTTTGAGGCACTCACATACAAACTGGAGAACATTGCTCCGTGGAAGATGCACGTGCATCTATGGCCATTTACCGACTGGTAGAAAGAGACTGGGAAGCAGACTTGAAACGTTCCAACAGCTGCAAGAGGAAAGTACCTCCATCCGATTTTGCCTACTTCAGCGAATCCACTTTCGACATCCTTCAAATTTCGTGCTCGAAGAAACTCCGAAAAGTGTGGCCAACATGTTCACCATGGTTACAGCCCTTGTCGCCTGTACCATGTGATAATCCATGTTCTGAACTGCCCGCTAGCACCTGTTCTTTGTTAGCCGACGATTTCTGGCCTGAGTCAGTGGACTGATGTGGCGTATTTTCGTACCACATGTGCTATTGGATATTTTGATCCTTCTCTCGGTCGGTCGGTCTAACCAAGAGAGTCAACTGGCTCTATGAATTTCACCTTATTTATCTGAACTGCAGTGCCTTACTCGACACCTGTTGTTTAAGCAAAATATGTCATTCCTGCTGTTTTACAGTTGGCTATTTCGATCAATATATCATGCGAGAATACTATTTTTCCTCCATTCCATGCAGTATGGTGCTTTCTTACCGCACGCTTCCAACATTCTGAAGGGTTGCTAGGGCGCCCGGACCTACCAGTCTAAGTGACAGGAGCGAAACTCCTTAAAAGTTCAAGAATACGAGGCAAACTTTTAAGTATGCTGCGCTTTCTGTTATTCTTTTCAAAGTAGTTGGACGATTGGACGGTCTTTTTGAAGCACTTGTTGGATTGCGACGCGCAATCCCAATATTGACCACGATTGTCATTAAAGTGAACTTTTATCAATATTGGTCACTGGAACCGTAACTGATGTAACGGCTGGATATTGGGTGTGGCCCGCCCAAAAACACTCCACCTTTACTATCGGTTTCAGATTTTTAAATCGCCCCCCCCCAGGTGGAGGCAGCAGCCTTCTTCGATGTCTGATGAGATCAAGTAACTCCGGAACCGGCGACACCCAGTGTCTATCTGCTGCTTGGATGGAAGTTCGTTCTGGATCAAAGATTGCTACATTGTCCAGATAACAGGACCAATAATGACAGTGCGTCAGTATTCTGTACTGATGCAGCGCTACTTCAGAACCGTAATGACCGCATGCACGAGAGGTAATAGGAATTTAAAATATGGACAAGTGTAAAAGCTAACCATCCTAAGTAAAAGCTCCGAATCAAGACGGTCAGGTGACATCACAAACCTTACCCCATAGGCATCGTAGTATGGTGCAGCGTAAAAACACGCGGCTTGCACAGGGTACAACAAGTGCGTCGGTAGCCTCGACTACAATCGTGATCATCCACATTGTCTTCACATACTTGCACTTTCCCTTCGGCCTGCATGTGTGTAATAGCTGAGTTCGTCTTAAATGTTCTCACTAAATCGTCATCCTATCGAAGCCAACGGCGAAACGACGCTGGTTCGACGTACTTTTTATGTATAAATATTTTGTAGAAACGTAAGGACATGGTTTAATGAAGCAGTTCTCTATATTTCTTCCAGATGCTCACACTTAAGCGGAGCTGGTTTGTGTCGTTAGTAGGTGACGCCACCGCGATTTTGCGAAAGTGAAATTAGCAGCCATGACTGACTGGATGAGACTGGAAAATGGGAAGTAGAAGGAGCGTGGGTTCACTGCTTTAAAAGACTACCTTTGTTGACAAATCACTAATTGCAATCTCAGTAGCTAGGCATATCTGTTTTTCAAATCACTAACGTGTTCAGTTTCGTAAAAGTCCGCAACAAACTCCTGCTAATACTTTGTGGTCAGAGCAGCGCGCTGGCTGGAGCTAGCACCACAGTGAGACCTATGAGCCAACGGATCGGATGCAAACCGTCCGTTCTTGACTAATGGTCGTATCAAACAGCGCTGATTTGATGATGCTTGCCAGTTGTTTTTAAACTGAAGCAAAGAAAGAACGCTATTGGTGGAACTGCATCGTTAGCAGTGAAGAAGCATCATGAATGCAACATCAGCTTCAGCATAAGGCACATCTCATACATATATGGTTGGCGGCATGCGCTTTCGGATTTGCCTGTCACTGTGGCCAGCCAAAGGATGTCTGCGCCTACAGAGGGACCATGGGTGGCTTGCGCTGCACCACCCACAGCTCCAACCACATACCCCATATCCAGTGTAAACCCGAAGAAATAAGACCGGGAGGCATGTGGATGGGAGGCACGTTTCATCAACGGAGCCGACCCACGCTCCTTCACAGGCAAACACAAGCACGCTGTATTTAGGGGATCAAACGCAAACAAGACGGTGGCTGGACCGTAATCCGCTCCACACTGAGTGCATGGAACCACTCTTTGATCCTAACACGGCCACAAGGACTGTGCACCCCGTCCCCTCTAGCAACGACCATCTGTCTGCTAGAGCCACTATCGACGACGTAGTGCAAAATAGACAAGTAGGCACCTTGTTAACATGCACATCAATCGTAGCCACACCGGGGATATCAAGCAACAGCCAATCACTTAATAGAAAGATAACAAATAAAATACATCAAGTACTGCATAAGGAAACGGTGACATAAATGTTAAAGAAAGAGCACATGAAATAAGTTATTCACAAAAGAATCCCATACAAGTTCATGAGGTCAGAAAATATATTTTACGGAAATGACACATGCCCGAAAATGTTATCGAAATTAACTACACTTGGCTTAAGCGACGTGTGAAAGGTAATAGAAAGGAGTACAGGTGGACATTTCTATGAGAAAGAAAAGCATTATCACAAAATTGCAAACTCACCACCTGAAATAAAGAGATTTATAATGCAAGCACGCGATTATTAAATCGAATGCATCGTACCTACAAACGCTGCGCCGGTTCTGCCTACGTTCCCTGCAGGACCCGTCGTCGCTTCGGTAGTGGTCCCGAGTGGCCTCGCTCATGACTCACTAGGCCTGCATGACTCAGGCACTCGCGACCGCATGTGCTACAGCACCATGCGCTTGATGTCGATGGAGTACAATCCATCGGTGCTTGCCACTTACGCACTTGCCGCTTCTTCTCCGCATGCATAAGGTCTTTCTTCTGCATCTCTACAACTCCCTTCATCATAAGATCGCGCCATGCACGCCGATCAACCGCCTTCGATTCCCATGACCTGCAATCAAGATTAGAACGTGAGAGGCTCACTTCGATCACATCCTGATAACGTATCTTTGGTTTCCCTACATGCCGCTTCCCAATACTCAGCTGACCATATAATAGATGCTTCGGTATCCGCGTCGAATCCATACGGCTCACATAACCGAGCCACCTCAGGTGTCTCAGCAAAAGTATGCAGTCCACTGCAAATATTCCACTTCGTCGCAACACTTCCGTGTCAGCAACTCTGTCGCCCCAACCGATGCGCAAAATCCGTCGCAAACACCGCTGATGGAACCGCTCGAGATATCGCACATCCCGCCGGTACATCGTCCACGTTTCACTGTCGTATAGAAGAACGGACAGCACCATGGATTTGTACACCATCAGCTTCGTGCCAATGGTAAACTGATGGTTGTTCCACACTCGGTACTCTACCTTCCCGAATGCCGCCGCTGCCTTCGACACGCGGATACGCAGCTCACTGTGTATCTGCTGATCAGTCGACATCACACTCCCAAGATAGCAGAAGTGGGAGGTGGTTTCCAATACTTCAGCACCAATGCTGATTCGCCACAATATTGTAGATTGCACTTCCGGTGAAGGCTGAAAGATACAGACAGTTTCGCTTGTGTTGATAGTGAACTAGAATTTGGTCGCTCTCGAAGCCAGAGCACTAGTCATGTGCTGCAACTCATCCGCGTTGTGTACAAACAACGCACAGTCGTCAGCAAACAGCAACATACGGACAGTTGTCTCACAGACTAGAGTTCTCGCACCGAAACGACGGATGTTCAGCAACCCACCATCAATACGGTGCTCCACACGAACACCGTAAGCAAAAGTCGCATCAAAAACACAGGACATCATTGCATGAAGATATATATTAAACAGGGCAGGAGCTAAGACACAGCCTTGCTTCACACCAGTGACAAATGCAAAGTCATCCGAGGTCTCTCCACTCAGCTGCACCCTCGCTCGCATACCACTGTGCAGACATTCCATTAAACTTACAAACTTACGCAGGCAACCAAACTTACCCAACACACAATGCCACAATGCCTCGCGGTTTACCGTACCAAATGCCTTGGTGAAATCAACAAAAAGCGAGTACAACGGCTGGTATCGTACTCTACACTTCTCCCGTGAAACTGACGAGCCGCAAACACCATATCTATAGTGCTGCGATCCGAACGGAATCCCCACTGCTCTTCCGCCAAGTTAGGTTCCACAACCTGATTGACGAGGTGGTTGGGCATGATTCGGACAATCAACTTTGCCCACACAACTCAGCAAGTTGATTCCACGATACTTCGTGCAACATTGCTTGCTACCTTTGCGCTTATACAGTGGTAGCACAACGGCATCCTTCAGCTCAGCAGGCACCTCCTCAATCTATACACGTTGCACCAAGTGGTGCAGCGCAGTCACTAACCCGGGTCCGCCGTGTTTCAATACTTCAGGCGGGATCCCGTGGGCCCCAGCAGACTTGCCGTTTCGCAGCTGAGCAAGTGCTCTCTGCGTCTCATCCAGTGTCGGCGTGTCCGCCAGACTCGCCTTCACATCGTGCTGCTTCAGGCCGTTTAATGTAGGTCAGTCGATCTTTGAACGGTTGTTCAAGAGACGGTCAAAGTGATTTCGCCAAATCTGCATTATGTCTGCAGTCTGTGTGCAGGTAGCGCCTGAACTACCATCGATCAGCGTCCTCAACGGGTCCCATCTCGGTCCATACACCGCCTTCAAGGAGTCAAAGAATTCCTTGTGTTGGTGACGCTCGGGGTAGCATTCCATCTGCTTCGCCTTCTCCGTCCACTATGCATTTTTAATACGACGGAGCTCTCGGTTCAGTCGCCGTCGAAGTTTGCGAAACTGACTAATCTTCCCCAAGTCACTGGTGTCTGCTACATGTGCAACAAATGCTGCATTCTTCTCCTATACCAATGCGCCAATCGTCGCATTGTTCTCATCAAACTAATCAGGCCGCTTACAGTTTGCCATCCCGATGGTCTCCTCGGCAGCAGCTGTCACCTGGTCGCGAATGTGATGCCACAGGTCGCCCACGGTGGCTATGCACTCTACATCACACAGGCGTGCAGCCATCGCCTTCTCCAGCTCAATGCGTTTCGCCACAGTACCGAGGGAGAGAATGTTAAATTTGCGACGATTCACTGCAGAGGTGCAATACATAGATTTACGAAAATATATGTACAGTTTGATTTGCACCAATTTATGATCTGTGCAACACTCAACCTCACGCAATGCACACGTCATGCGCACTTCACGCTGAGGTACGATGACATAGTTGAGCAGGTGAGCGTGACAACTCCGCCGATGCGTCCAAGTTGTTATATCACTCTCACTCAGTGCAAACCGAGTGTTCGTGATCGTCAGGCCTTGAGTGGCACCCAGTGAGAGCAGCCTGTCACCGTTCGCATTCA